TCTGCGCAGCTGGGGGGTCACCCGGGACCCGGGCCCCGGTGCCACCCCCACCATCTGCTGCCACGGGCTGGTTGGGCGCTACGTGTCCATCGTCATCCCCGGCCGCGAGGACTCCCTCGTCCTGTGTGAGGTGGAGGTGGCGACACGGGGCTGTGTCCCACCGCCCGGAGGTAAGAACCCCCCAGGGGCCACCAACCACCAGGAGACCACCCTCGGGGACTCCCTGGTTGGACACGGCAACAACAACCCCGTGTGAGTCCCACCACCGGCACCACGGGACACGGGTCCTCTGGTGCTCACCCATCCTCATCCTCCATCCTCATCCTCCATCCTCCATCCCCATCCTCACCCCCATCCTCCATCCTCCATCCTCATCCTCCATCCTCATCCTCCATCCTCATCCTCCATCCTTATCCTCCATCCTTATCCTCCATCATCGTCCTCCATCCTCATCCTCCATCCTCATCCTCCATCCTTATCCTCCATCCTCATCCTCCATCCTCATCCTCCATCCTTATCCTCCATCCTTATCCTCCATCCTCATCCTCCATCCTCATCCTCCATCCTCATCCCCGCAGCTGTGAGACCATCACGGACACGGGTCCTGGTGCCACCAGCACCATCTGCTGCCATGGGCGGGCTGGGCGCTACGTGACCATCTCCATCCATGGCCGGGAGGAGCAGCTGAGCCTGTGCGAGGTGGAGGTGGTGGAGGAGGGTTGTGCCGTGTGGCCCGGTGGTGAGGGACATGGCAGGGTCATATGTGGCATGGGATGGGTGGTGGATGGTGCCACATCCAGTTGGTGACAGGTCACCACTATTGGGTCAGTGTTGTCCAATGTCTCCATCAATGACCTGGATGAGGGGATCGATGCTCCCTCAGATGACACCAGGTTGGGTGGGAGCTTTGGTCTGATGGAGCATCTCCAGAGGGATCTGACCAGGCTGGAGCCGCCAACCCTGGAGGCATCTAAAACCCGGGTAGACGAGGCCTCAGTGCCGGGGGTTAGTGGTGGCCTTGGCAGGGCTGGGGATGGTTGAACCCAACGACGTCAAAGCTTGTTCCCGCCCTGGTTGATCCGTGATCCGGGGTCACCACGAGGTGTTTTGGGCTCACTCGGTGTCACGTCACCTCCATCCCCCCCATCTCCACAGCCCAGAAAGTGGCTTTGGGCCGCGCGGCCGCTCAGTCCTCAGAGCCGGACGCCGGCGGCG